TAAATATTTCACCCATTAATTACATTTGAAAAATAAATGCTTGTTGTTTATTTATTACGAAAATACCCTTTTATCTTTCATCACCTTTGATTTCGACCAAAGCCACTCGAAATCAACAAAAATCCAAACAAGTAATCAATAAAACAAAATGGGGTGTTTGATTTAGTCAGAGGAATGGAAATGACAGAGAATGAAAATGAGAATGAATTTTTATTTCCTCCAGTTTAATCTGAAATCAAAATTTGGACTTCTCAAAGAATGAGCTCATTATATTATACAAAATAAAACAGTTTCTTTTATTTTAATTCTTATTGATTACTATCTAATACCGCTAACCAAACACCCTTAAAAACCCCTCGAAACGGTAGAATTAGTCTAAAAACGCGACAAACAATTTTACATGCATTTGATCCACTATAAAGGTGCATCCGTTCGACAAAAAAATGTGGGTCCGTCAATATTCTTAATTATTAAAAAAATACGATCATCATTTTTACTAAATACCATTATTCGGTCGTCACCTTCGTCAATGCCTTTATGTAGAATGAACTTAAAAAATGTGTTTTGGAAGAAAGACAGTCTTCAAAAATATTTTTTTAACAGTTAAGAAGTTGAGCAGGTTCTTAAAACACAGGTCTTATTGATCACGTAGAATGAAATTTCTCTTATAATACAGTGATATTTCATTTTAAACTGGTTATGAAGTCTTTGGCGACCTTGAGGGTATGAGGGATAGTCTTAACTACGTTAGAAATATTTATTTTCTAGCTAACATCATAATTTCGAGACTATTTTGTAACGATAATTAACCTAAAATAAATGAAAAATACTGGTCTTATTATAAAAAGTAATATCTGTTAAATGTAAAGTTGTGTCTTATGTGGGAAAAGATATAACAGAAAATGAAGCACATATTTTCAGGTTTATTTGATTTTAACAGTCGAAGGGTGTTTTCTAATATTCATCGTTTAATAAGAATAATTACTAAAAAAATAAAAATAAAAGTTATAAAACTTAATACTGCTTTTCAAATAAAAATTATCAGTTATTATATAAACTATAATGGATAACAACGACTATTTAAAAAGAATTCTTCTTTTAGAACTTCCTCACGATAGAGTTCTGTAGCGATTCTTCCTTTTGTTACATCAACGTCATATCAAGCTTTTACTAATAAGCTGTGTATTTGTATGATACAACAGACTGTGAAATTTTCTTACAAACATGTAATGGGAATTAATCAAGCTATTGATATAATTTCCGATCCTTTGTATATATACTGTCTCCCTCTCTCTCTCTCTCATACGTACTCTCTCTCTACATTTCTCCAAACTATACAGGAGGCCTTATGTTCAAATCCTACTAATTTTTACTGGTTCTTTTGAGGGTAATATATCTGTATTCGTTTGCAAGAATTCTTAAAGTTTGTTGTTTTATGTAGATGTGATGTTTTCGTATGAGTTTCATGAACTGGTTTTAACTAATGGTCATACATATTGTGTGTATGAAAAATGCACCAGGTTCACATGTATGTAGAAGCCGGTAATAAGTAGGTCAAGTAATAATTGATTGCTTCTGATACCTTCATATACGATCTCAGCTACAAATACGAGAATTCTTATTAAAATTCTAATAACTAAAAACTCTTAAAAACATATTATCAAGATAACGAAAATGTAGCGTTTAGGTGGTCTTCGATTATTTCATGCATATTCGTCTAAATGGGTGTTTATATGTGCGTTATAGAAATGATTATGACAACTTAATAATTAGCTAGGGTTGAATTTACGTGAGACAAAACTGTTTTCTTAAGACACGATTTTTACATTTGAAACTTCACAACAAAATGTTGTGAAGGCATAAAAAGTTGAATCTTCACAGCAAAAACACCGTAAAGGTTACCTTCACAGTGTTTTGTTGTGAAGTTTCAAGTGTAAAACTCGTGTCTCACGAAAACAACATTGTCTCACATGATCCTCAATCTAAATAAAAGTTGATGGCTCTTTAGCCTCAATTTCTATAATTAAACAATATTCGTTCCTTTCAGTCTCATTTTCTAGCTTCTAATGGCATGTCACATTTAAGCATGTCTGAAATCTATTTATCTTCTAACTATTTTACGAGAACGATTCATATAACAGTAATTTCAACACAATTTAGCTAAAGTTCGAGTTCAGTAATCCAACTATATCATAAACCATTGCTCATCTCCTCTTCAATATATAAAAATTCAATATATATATATATATATCATAAAACATAATGTTTATCGATCAGTATAAATACAGATTGCTGCTTTTGAGAAACGAATATGTAATTATTTAAAGTATTTACTTAAACCTTTGTTTTTTTAAAACCTAAAAGCGACAAGATGTATAGAAGCACATATGCCCACTTTCTTTCTCTCTATCTAATCAAATTTCTTTTCATTTATTTTTAATTTAAAAGCTTGTACTTCACATAAATGTGTGCCCATTTGTTACATAAGAACAAGCTTTTTCTTAAAAAAAAGCATATTTTAATATTAAATTATGAAATAAAATTGTATTAATAATGAATTTTTATGTTTTATTTATTACTTTCTTTAATATTTTTCATTAAAAATAAATAATTTTATGTTATATATAAATATCTTAACATTAATTATTATATATGTGAGATCATCATATACGTCTATCTTTTGTCTTTTTTAAGAAAAATGATTGTACTGATAATGGTACTTTGTTAAGATTCGCGAATTAAATATTATTACTGAATTGTTAAATCCAATTTACTGTTTAAATTGTTATTAATGTTGATTGGAACTGCAACAAAGCTTGAAGGCTGTATTTTTCGAATTTGAAATGGTTTTGATTCATCGGTTATTCATAATCGGGATATAAAATTATAAAATTAAACACATATCACTAATTGAATGTAATATATTGATAAATACGTTCGTTGTTTATATTTGATGGTTTTGATTCTCTTTTAATTCAAAGTAAGGACGATTATCGGTTTTTGAGGTAGCTTTGCTTTCAAGGACTAGAGATCCTTTGTATTTTATTTCACGACATCCTCTGTGTTTTGTTCACTGTATTATTGACAACTCGGTTTGCCAGATGTCTGAATTCATTTGTAACACGTAATATATGTATCTATGACATAAGAAGTTGATAATCGTCATCGTATGCGGTGAATCGAGTGATATACGTCAGCTGATTTATTATATATAGTATATATGACGTTGTCAACATAATAAATAACAAATCTTGATGCGGTATTGATTTATCAAAACTATACATTGGGATTTTGACGTTTCTTGGATCATACTGGAGAAGTCATTATAACATAATTGCTCTCTAAGGGGGCGTGACCAAATACTTACGCGGGTAAGCGCTTACCAAGTTACATTATCTTGTTGGATGAAATATGACAAGGACCAAAAATTTTATCCAGTAAGAGCGAGACAAGAACCGAGAGTCTTACCCGGTAATTGAAGACAATGATTCTTATCACGATCAGCTCTTACCGAGTAAATTGTTGCATATAAAGCCGTATTTGTTGACTAAAATCTTACCTTAAAAGTAAATGATGGTTCTGAATTTTACCGATAAGTGCTTACCGGGTAAGTGTTTAACCATATGGGTAAATTATGACAAAAATTAAACTTTAAGGTAGAAAAGTGCAACTTTTTTTATCGTAATATTTAATTACCAAATTCACCGAAATATTGTGTGAGAAAGAGAATTAAGCTGAGAAACGTAAGAAGAGATCTGGTTCCTTGAACACATTTAATCTCAAACCACCATGAATCGCGCTTGATACGGGGATTGATATGGTGCATGTTGGTGCATCTCATCCCAATATGAATATAAGGGTAGAGATCACTTCTTACACTTATTTACCAAAAAACAACATCGTGCGATCTATTTATCTTAAAATGCATCAAAGTAAAGAAGATTGCCTTAGTTTTTATCTGGTATGAGGACAATTTTGTTTTTCTAGATACAAACAAGTTTAATTCTTTCTATTTCATACCTACTTTACCTCATGAACGGGGTTTTAACCTACACGACGTAGGGTGATACTGATATAATATTCTTTTACATAATAAACAATCACAGTATAATTTAACATATATATCATTTACAGTTATAAGACCCCTCCCTTCATTTGTTATCTCAAGAGGTTCCGTTGTTTTTTGTTTGTTTTAGTGGTTGTTTGTTTTTGCGGGGTTTGGGTTATTTCCCATCTTTGATATATGTCTTTGTAGGGGTAGGGGTAGGGGCGGATGGCCATAGGGGCCTTGGCCCCTAGACTTTTTTTACTGATAGACTGAAACATCTCCAGTTCATTAAGGTTTTAAGTATAAAATTCGTTTGGGTCCCTTCACTATTGCTGATCTAGTCCATTTATGTCCTGCCTAGGGGTGTTGTTTTTGTTGGTTTAATAATTTTTTGTCTTTCAATAAAAATATTTGTAAGATCCACCGATTACCTGCTATAATTGGTATAAAATATATAAAACTAAACGTTCGTTACACTAATTGACAAAAAAAATCACTGCTAAAATCAACAAATTTCCAGTAGTGAGTAATGTCTTTTATAAATCAACTCCGACGAAACCAGTATCACCATTATGTTGACATTTTCGTTTGAACAACCAACAATAAGTTCTACTGGTTTCATTATGACCATTGTTTTCGAGACCCGAAACCGTCAATACATGGTACAACTTTTAATGCACAAAAATACTCGAGTCTATGTAATAATTATTTCTAGAATTTAACTTTACCATTATTAATGTATGTGAAGCACCAAGAAACTTCTTAAAATTAATAATTATTAAAACAAATTAAAAAATAAATTATATATAAAAAAGAATCCAACCTTTATTCCTGGCTCAAATACATTACCCCATTAATTATCTTTTCTTCACACACTTGTACTTTGTGCATTAAATGTTGTACATGTTCCACTATATATCTTCCTCCTTCCTCCTGCCCAATTTTCAGAACACACACACACAAAAACACCAAGAACACACACACACAAAACACACACAACAATGGGCTCATCTGAATCGTCGTCGTTTTGGAGGTTTGATTCGCCGTTGATTTATCTATTCGGCGGGATAACTCTGATACTTTCTCTAATAGTGGTGGCGTTGATAATTCTGGCGTGCTCACAACGGAGGCGCCGATCAGGGGACGGCGGCGTCGGTGGAGATATGGAAAGTGGTGGCGAGTCTCAGAAGACGGTAAGGGCGGTGTACAACGGTGGTGATGGAACGGATAATACACCCAAAGTCGTCGTGATTATGGCCGGAGATGAACTTCCGACGTACTTAGCAACACCCGCCGACGTCTCCGGCGACACCAGTGCTTCTAACTGAACGAGTCTAGTCGTTTCTCCGATCATCTTGAGCTCCGAGGAACAAAAATTTTGAGTCTGAATCCACCAATTTTGTTTTCTTTTTCGTTTTCCGGGAATATATATATATATATATATATATGTTAGATAAATGAGTTTAACTTTATCAACCAGTTTGAATGAACCAAAGATTCCATTTTAATTTCATTTCATAATCTGATTTTAAGTTTTTCCGACCAAAAACACCCACAAATGGCGGCGATGGAGGGTTCTCCGGCCAGTTGTCGGAGTTTAAAAAAGCAGCGACAGCGGCGGAGGAAGAAACTTTATCGGTAAAAAAGCCGAAACAGAGTCTGAGCGTGATCACGAGACTCCAATGAATATAGAATTCAAATTCAAAAATATTAAATATTTTCAACCAAAATAAATTAAATATTTTTATTAATTTTGTTGTAAAATTATCGGATATCGTTCTTATGAAAATACTAAACAAATTATACGCGACTGTAAAACGAAAAATCTTGATAGTTAACATTGAACGTATACTGATATATGTATATGAAAGTATTTGAACAATTAATACAGATTAAAGTGGAACACAGATGATTTTTCGTGTCTACATCTGTTTTGTTGATTAAATTATGGGAACTTAAGTTTAACGTGTAAGTATCTAAATCAGACGTTTTTAAATTGATTTGACTCATAAGGAAGGGTAATATAACGAAAAAGAAATTGAACCCAATTTGTACCATTATCATTTTTACTAGTTTTTTTTTTTGTTAGCAATGAATATCTTGATAAATTTGTAAAAAAAATCTCAAGATAGAAAATATCTATTCTTTTATCCATAATTGCTTGAACGATACCGAAAACTTTACTATCAGTTCTCCTCCACCAATCATAAATTCATAAACATTAAGATGAAAGATCAATATTAAAAAAAATAACAAAATCAATATTAAAAATGCACAAATCATGAGATTTTATGATATAATTATATATATATATATATATATATCTTTTTTGTCTTTTTATCATAAAAAGTTTGTTTTTGTTCATTTGGTGTCCGCCACCTGTTTTCTCATATTTATTTTTGTTTTGAAGATCAAAGACAAAACATAAGGAGAGAAATAGAGACTGCAAATAGAGCCAAAATAACTACTGGTTTTCATCATTTTCTCTGTGATATTCCTTAAACATGAATAGAAAGTCAAGGGAACTTTTTAATTATTCATGATTCAACGTGTATTTAGTTCGAAGCTAATGTTTTATAATATATACATATGATTAATTTCGTCTGAAAAAAACAACTGTAGATTAATATGATGGTATTCTTGTTCAGTTGTTTTCATATATAAAATAACTCTTTTTAAATTATATAAAATGTTTAATTTTACAAAAAATACACTAATATATTATATTAATTATTATTTATAGAAAAAAAAATCGTAATAATACCTAAAAAAGGTTGTATTAAATTAAATAAAAACTATATATATATATATATTTGGGTATTTTTAAGCATTACTTTAAAATATATTGTTGAATTATTTGTTTTAATAAAAAAATTATTTTTTATTTCTAAAATTGTATCTATTTTAAATAATAATTTATATGAAATTTAAATTAATTTTGTTGGCAGAGTGGGATTGTGTGTGAAATTGGTTAAGGAATCGAGATTGTGATATGCAGCAAACATGAAACGTATTAATGTCGGTGGGACGCGGCTACTCGACGCCTTTTTCTTAGCGTTTTCTGTTTTCCACAGTGCACAGCTGGCACACACGAACCTTTTTTCAGAATTCATTAAATTTAGAATTAAAAGAAAAGAGTAAACTTCATTTTTCATCCCTGAGATTTTCTTAGTTTTTTATTTTGGTTCCTAGAGTTCATTTAATATTAATTTGTTGTTGCAGTTTGTATTTTTGTCAGGTTTTGGTCCCTCACATTAACGGCTGTTAACTTTCGTCCATTAAATGGAGGGGTATTTCAGTCTTTTCCTACTTTTTATTTAATTGTTATTAAAAAAAATTTAAAAATGAAATATATAATATTTGACTTTTTGACCTTTGTGTCTTTTTGTCTTTTCTCATAATATATTTACATACAATTACATAAACGGATAAAAAATAGTTATACATAAACAACCATTTTCAACATGTTTTCCAATGAACCCTTCCTGCTCTTTTTTTGACGTGTTTTCTGCTGAACCCTTCCCTATCTATTTTCACATGCTTTCCAGCAGCAACCCCTTTTTCTGTCAAATTTTTCCTTTTCCTCTCCTCATTAGTGAACCCTTCATCCATTTCTCGGTCATTAACCAGGTTCAGCACAACCATATCCGGTTATCTATACCCAGAAAACTAGATTTATAAAAGGCAAACTCATCGTAAAGCCTAACCCAGAAACCAATCATCACTTCCTTTTTCACCGCATCCTCCAAAATCCCAAACCAACCCCACCGTTAGTGACACCCTTACCTCTTACGGTTCCTCCTCCAAACCCACACATGCACATTAAAGAAGAAAAGTTGGAGTTTCGACCTTAACTCTTCAAGGTTTAAGAAGACTCATTTATCATTTCCGTTTGTTGTGAATAGTGATCAAGGTTCAAGTTTTACAATGGATTATAAGTCAATGGTTTGGTTTTCGGTTGAATAACAAAGAGGGTAGGTTCTGAATACAGTTGCTTGTTAGTTTTCTATAAAAATGGGGTGGTTTTTATATGCAGATGCATATAGGGTCTGAATGGATATAAGGCGAGTTTTAAATAGCACAATAGGTGTTTCTTTAGTGGGGGTAAAGGTAGGCTTTTGTAAGGATATGAGTTGAACAATCAAGAAGGTGACTGGTGGTATAGAGAAAGAAAAAGGGTGGCCGACGACGGAGCAAGGGGGTTCACAAGGTGTAGGTGTGTGTAATATAATATATACTATATTTTCAATAATTAATAAATTATAATCTTCTAAAAAGACAATAAGAAAAAGTCCAGAATACCTTTGACTTAACGGGTTCCTTTGACAGTCGTTAGTGGGAGGGATCGAAACCAAGCAAAATTGGAAATGGCAAAGACAATTTTGTATTACATAAACCTTAGGGATCAAACTGAAGAATTTTGGGAAACCACATAGACCGCGCTTACTAATTGTTACATTTTATACACAATTTAAAAAATTATATAAGGAAAATTAATAATAGTTTTATTTTTATTTACAAAATTATAATATATTCCAGTTTTGTTTATAAAATAAAAACCATAACAAAAGTACATGTATTAATCCAATTTATCATGTATCATGTAAACCCAACATATTAATTATATATATATATATATTATAAGACAGTGCTAAACTGATAAAATTTTATACATTCATAAAATCCTAAACTCTAAATACTAATTTTATTTAACGTTTTATCTAAAAGAGATATTTATCAGCAAATCATATAATTCACATAATTCCTATTTTGGAGAATCAACTTTCAAAATCGTCATTTTAGGAACCAACTTTCAAAATCGTCATTTTGGGGAACCAACTTACACCTGATTCCTATTTTGGGGAACCAACTTTCAAAATCGTTATTTTGGGGAACCAACTTGGACCTGATTCCTATTTTGGGGAACCAACTTTCAAAATCGTTATTTTGGGGAACCAACTTGCACCTGATTTCTACTTTGGGAAACCAAATTGCAAAATAATTATAGAAAAATTACTAAAATTCCTTTTTTTTCCAAAAATTAATGCAATAAAATCTATTTTTCATTTCAAATCTTGTTTTTTTAATTCAGATATCAACTTGAACATTTAAAAAAAAAATCCAAGTTACCACAATAAAAATTGTTTTTTACTAATGCAAAAAAAACCAATTTAATAAAAAAAATTAATTGATGCAAATGGTTAGATATAAAAATCTTGAATGTGATATTTAATATTTCTTTTTTTATTTTATCAATTAATTTTTTTCTATTAAATTGATTTTTTTTTACATTAGTAAAAAAATAATTTTTATTGTGGTAATTTGGAGTTTTTTTATATGTTCAATTTGATATCTGAATTAAAAAAACGAGTTTTGAAATGAAAAATAGATTTTATTGCATTAATTTCTGAAAAAAACGAATTTTAGTTATTTTTCTATAATTATTTTGCAAGTTGGTTCCCCAAAATAGAAATCAGGTGCAAGTTGGTTCTCCAAAATGACGATTTTGAAAGTTGGTTCCCTAAAATAGTAATCAGATGCAAATTGGTTCCCCAAAACGACGATTTTGAAAGTTGGTTCCCCAAAATAGGAATTAGGTGAAAGTTGATTATATTTTAATGTAATTTTTCGTTAATTTAAATGAATAATCAGACATTGGATGAATAAATTAAAGAAAGGGTTTTCTATACTCTAAAAATTCAAAAATAATATTATCAATTATTTTGTAACGGTTATTGATGAAAAAGAAATTCATTTAAAGCCTTAATAACAAAGCCCATATTCATATTTTTAGAATCAGTACAAAATAATGAATGCTAATTTTATCTGGTATCGCTGAGTTGATCATGTCAACCTGAATAGAAGCAGTACACGACTTCATACGCGATCGCTAAAAGCATTCTCATTTTCGCTAACATCTATGCAAACTCAGAGCAAGTCCAACAAATTGTTCAAAAATTTCAAAGTAGAAAACGACAATTCAAAATCAGTAATAAATAAAATTACATATAACTCCAATACTTTTCGTTTTGAATACATTAAAACATTAATTATATTATTAAAATATTAAATATAATTAATAAAGTATTATTGTCATCTCCTAAACATTTATTTAAAGGATTTATGTCGCTGAAAATAATAAAAAATCATTTTCCTTAAAAAAAAGTTATTTTTAATAACTTCTCCAAATTTAGAGAATTTACCACATCTCTTACTGTTTTCTCGATTCTTCTTTTACGTCACATTTATTTAAGCTGACCACATTTAGAATACTGTTTCTCGTTTTTGACCATTTTTTTACCCAATCCTCCTTGACTTTTTTTTCTTTAGATATTGATTTTAATGTCACGTTTTATATCTTTATATATTAATTTTTATTTATTCTTTTTTAGCTTTTCTTGTTTTCTCCATTTTATAAAATTTATCATATTAAATAATTTATAATATATTAATTAAAATACATTTAAATAATACATAATTTTTTAAAAAAATACATCATTTGAA